GCTATTAGCTGAGCCAGGTTCAGGGTCCTGGTTAGCCTAAGAGCAGGGCTGTTCCCTTGAGGTTGCTATGCAAATTTAATCCATGCCCCGAGCTACTTGGTAATGAAACATGTGTATGCTGTTTGCTTCCCTGACCCTTATTAGCATTACACTTAGGAACCATTATATAATTCTACCAGTAGCAGAATGAGTGTTCTATAAGCTCATCTGTTGCATTGACTTTTACCGTTTTCCTGAGCCTCTGAAGCCATCATAAGAAAATAAGAACATAGGAAAAAGCTTTGCTGGATCAGACCAAAAGCCCTTCTGGTCCAGCATTCAGCACATACGGTGCGGAAACAGCTGCTCACAGGATTCCTTGAGAAGGATGGATGCAAGACCTCCACTTCCCACCTCCGGTAAAGCAGGTAGCGTACAGCCAGCAAGGCACGTAGCCACTGATAGCCGTCTGTTCCATGAATCCGTCTAATTCCTTTTTAAAGATTCCTGTGGTGGCGAATTCCATATTTTTTGGTACATGTCGTGTGAAAAACTTCCTTTTATCTATCTTATACCTCCCACCAGTCAGCTTAATGATGACCGGTATTCTAGTGTTCTGGGAAAGGGAGAAACATCTCTCCTTCTCTACTTTCTCCATGCCATGCCTTATTTTAAACACCCCTATCTCCCCTTGCCTCCCATTTTCTAAGCTGAACAGTCCCACAGAGAAATTGCTCCAGCCTGTAGATCACATTACTCTTTCTTCTCTGTTAGACAACTATTAATAATCAAAGCTACTCAGCCCAATGTGCAGAGTCAGGTTTGCATGGAGTTCATCTTCCCAATCCTAACCAAGTACGTATTTGCTGTGGTTGCAATGATACAGGATGTTTGTCCTTCAACATCAGGTTACAAATATGTTTTTGTTGCCCTGAAAGCAATACATGAAAACCTTTTCACCATTTTGCTTTATTTCACTTGTCATCATTTTGAGCACTTTTTTAATGACTTGAAGCTTAATGTTGGGACTACCTTGGCTCTAGTCTCCACCTGATTATGAAACTCCTGGGGTGAGACACTGGCTCTCAGCCTAGCCTACCTCAGAGGTTTCTTGTGAGGGAAAATGGTTCCCTGAACAACAAGGGAATCACAGAAATGCCTTGGGTTCCTTGAAGGAAAAATGTTCCATTACAAATGAATAAATGTAGAAGAGTGAGAATTGTGTGTTTCCTGGAAGAAGGGAAAACATGAAAATAAAATGGGCAATTATTTTTCAGTAACTTGCTATTACGAGTAAAGCAGTCTCTCCACCCTGTTTTTTGTTTGCTTAATGCTTTTCCCTGCTTGTGCTGCAACTGAATTTTGTCTTTGAAACTGAATGTTGAAGTCACTGTATGTGGGAACATTGAAAAGTAAGTAATTTCAAATATGTGGGTAGCCAGGTCTGTGTATATATCTCCTTCTCTCACTCCCCCCAAAAAAACCAACAAGAGGATGTATATTTTGTTAATTTACTAATTTATTCATATATCTGCACATTTAGAAACCATTATTGTAATTTAAATAGAAATGCAATCATTTACACCTGGGCTAAACAACCTGGTACCCACCTATATTTTGCACTACAACTCTCATCAACTCCAGTTTGCATGACCAGTGGCCAGAAACTGTGGGAACTATAGTTCGAAACACCTGGAGGGTTACTGAGGTGTCCTCCTGGCTTGTTTCCATGTGTTATGTGTGGATAAATGACATCATGGTTTCTTGTCTCCCCCCTTATGGCACCTTATCTTGAAACATGACTTGGATAGCCTTTCAGAGAATGACTTGGGATAGAAATCCAAGGACTCATGCTATACTGATTCAAACCAGTTGTGGAACCAGAAAGGTGGTGGGCTATCCCACACTAGAGATATTCCAAAAGAAACTGGTGTAAATTAGTGACCTGCAACAGTAGAGGGTTGGACCCCATGACCATCTTGGACCCTTCCAACTCTTACTGTTCTATGAAACGATTCTGAAAGTTCACTATTGTCTTAATGGACCAGCAGCTGCTTTTTAAATTTCCAGGCTGGAGACTTTCCTAGGCCTACCCAAAGATGCCAGGCCTTCCTTTGCAAAGAATGGGAAATGGTCCCTCCCTGAAACAGAAGGTTGTCTTCTGAAAAGCGAGGCCTATAGCTATGCTGTTGGGTTAAGGCCTTTGCTCTTAGTTCATGCATGGATGCTAACAGGAATGTGTCATCTATGATGGAAGCCTGACAAGAAGTGAGATCATTTATCTTTAAAAGAAAAGCTCATCTCTAACTCCCATTGTTAAGATCAGGAGTCTAATGAAAGCACCATGGCTGTTCTTGCTAATAATAATAAAATAATGTAGATTGTAGTAGGAATTCCAGTTTGTGGGCTTCTACATTTTCTGCTTATGTTTTATACAATTTCACTGTGCTTTTATCTGGTCTCTTACATTTTGTTGTGAATTTGAAATTTTAGAGTTATTTAAATGATGTTCATAGGTCGTGTTGCTTTTATATGGGTCATTAACTGCCCTGGGCTCCTTGCAAGGAATGGTGTGATTATATATGTCTGCCTGCCTCTGTGTGTCCTCCAGCACTTGTCTGTGAAATAATTGGGAGCAAACACAGCTATGGCAAGCCAAACATGAAGCCAAAAGGGCACCATTTTCACAATAAAAAGCACTAGAATTCACAAGCTGCATATGTCATTTTCTTCCTATGTTACCGTGATGAAGCTGAATTCAATTACTTCTGAAGAAACCTCTGGATCTCTAATTATGAAACTACAACCCTGTTACAATGGTTGCAAAAGGAAATAGCAGCAGGAAATGTTCTAATGACCATGGGGGCAGAAGCCATGCTCAGTGAAAATAATTCTTGCCATGTAAAGGAAGCAAAATGCTTCATTTCAAGGTGCACAGGAAAAGATAGCCACCATACTGATTTGAACTAGTGCCTGAATCCTTATCATTGGAATGCCTTGACCATTTTACATGAAAGTGGTTGGAGTGGGAGAGGTGAATCAGTCAGTCAGTCAGTCTGTCTATCTATCTCACACAATAGAACAAGCTCTCAAAAATAAAATTGAGCACTTTGAAGTTCCCTTTACCTGCAACTTATTGAGAGGAACTGGCAAAGCAATGCTATTTGTCCAGGGAGGTGTGGCAGTGCAGCAGAGCAATCTCCACATTGGTTGATTGATTGATTGATTGCATTTGTATACTTCCTCATAGCCCATAGGGTTCTCTAGGCAGTTTACAGATAAAAAACATTTAACAATAAAGGCAGTACAAACCAATAAAACCAAATCCAACAGCATGGCAACTCCAGGTGATTAAGAAAATACAGGGCATAAAAGCAGTTCACATAAAACAAATTTCAGATCAATCTATCCATTGAAGCATCTGATGAATAAAAAGGTCTTCCACCAGGCACTGGAAACAAAACAGGCAGTGGCAGGCACACCTCCCTGTGGCGCATTTTCTGGAGATGGGGTGCAACCACACAGAAGGCCCTTCTCCTGTCACTTCTTTAGGGGTGGTTCCCAGAGAAGGATCTCTGTAAAAGATCTTAAGGACCAGGTAGGAGCATGTGGAGAAAGCCGTTCCTTTGTGTACCTTGGCCCCAAGCCATTTAGAGCTTTATACATTAGTATCAGCACTTTGAATTGGGCCCAAACTTCAATAGGCATCCAGTGTAGCTTTTGGTGGACTGGTGTAATATGTTCTTGCAAGTAGTCCTTGTTATCAGCTCTATTGCTCTGTTCTGAACCAATTGAAGTTTCCAGGCAGTTTTCAAAGGCAGGCCCATGTAGAGCACATTACACTAATCCAGGACACAGGTTCAGTGTGGCAATGCTCCATCCAGATAGGGATGCAGTTGGAAGATTAGCCTCACTGATAAAAGGTGTTCCTAGCTATGTAGTCCAGCTCTTCCTTGAGGGATACAATTCTGGGTCCAGAAACACCCCCAAACTACAAACCCCTTTAGGGCAAGTGCAACTCTCTGTAGGACAGGACAGGTTTAAAATTCCCCAGTTGAATGAACAGCCTACAATCAGCAGCACCTCTGTCTAATCTGGATTGAACTTCAGTTATTGGCCCTCATCTAGCCCGTTACTGAGCTCAGGCACTGCCTCATGTGAATTACATGAAGAGAAGAGCCAAGTGTTATCTGTGCATTGATTATACCTCAGCCCATACTGCCCGATAACCTCTCTCCCAGCTCACTGTGGCCTGGGCAAGAAGCTATTATTTCTGTGCTTTTCTTTTTATCCCCACTATGGTACTGAGGGGTCCACCACTAACTCCAGGGCCACCAAATTGGGGGAGCATCTTGGGAACAATGGTCTTTGCTCACGTAGTTCAGAGGCCGATTCTCATCCAGCTGAACACCTCTTAGTGCGTCTCACTTTGGCTCCTACTATTGGTGACACATCTCTGCTGGAAGAGCTTTTGGTGGGAGCCCTTCATGGGCACGTGGTCTCACTGGTAAGGACTTTGACTAGCTTTACTGCACCTGAAGTGTATGTCAAAGTAACAACTGTGCTATTCTATACATTTCCATTTTTAAATAACTTACTTCAAAGTAAGTGGGCATAGGGTTTCAGCCTAAAAGTATAGTTTTCAGTAGCTGAGGCTAAGCGCCTATTTATTAAGATTAACAAACTAAGTAAAATAAAAATTTCCAGGTTGCTGCTATCAAATCTAGGGCCTTGTACAGTAAAGCTAATTTTCTGAGTTGCAAGACTTAGTAATAAGAATTTCCCTCCTACTTTCACCCTATACATAAATATAAAATGTTATCATTTGCAGCTATGAAAAGCTCCTATATATTGCCATCTAGTGGGCAAAAGTAATTCTCAAATCTTTATCCTGGAAAGATTCAAGTAGTGATTTTATGCATCCTTACCAGGCAAATTCTACTGAAATGAACAGGGCTTACTTCTAAGTAGACACACCTAGGATTGTGCTGTTAGACATACTGAATAGAATTACTCTTTAGTTTAGTTTTTTATAATGTTCTGCATGTTGACGACAAAACAAAATTTCTATTTTTTTGTAGTCATTACACTGCGGTACAATTTGTAAGAAGAGAAATCCAGGTGTTTTTACTTTATTACTGGAGCATATTAGACATATTAGATATATACAAAAATGCTACCAAATGTTGCTTTCCATATATACTTCCATGTTCAATAGTGTTAAGAGAAGTTATTTGTCTCTGGATAATGGACGTGAAACAGAGAGAGAACAATCATGTAGAGTGATGGGAAAGAAAAGGACATTTATTTCCTTTTCATTAAAATGAATATATTACAGTCACCCACCCAACAGCAGAAAATATATGGCCATTTATTCTGTGCCTAGAGAAGGAAAGAACCAAGGGACAATCAGGTAAGTCACTCAGACACCTTGACCACATGAAAAATTCCTACTCACTGAACCAGTAAGTCCTATAATGGAGGAAGCAGGCAAGTAAGAATCCAAATATGTGAATGAAGAATTAGCAGATGCTTAGGAGAAAAGTAATGTTACAAGGGAAGATCGAGGAAGCCAAGGGGAAAGTGCCAAAGACAAGAGACTGGCTGGGGTAGGAGGCACTTGAAGGACACAGACTGGTTTAGGGTGCAGCCTTATGCATGTTTGCTCCCAGCCTTCTCTAGTAGGCCACAGATTGAAGAATGCCGGAAGATGTAGGACCACTTTCTGTCCACATATACATAGGATTAGACTGTTAGTCTATTAAAAAGGTACAGATTGGATTTATACCTAGTTACCACTTTTTAAACACACGTGAAGTAAAACGTTTGACTAAGAAACTACCATCCTGATTGGCTGGAGGTGAGGAGAAAGAAAAGCTAATTGTAGACAGTAAGGAAAAAATAAATTTGGCAAAGATATAAGGAGAGAGAGAATTAGAAGAAAGCCAAGAAGAAAGCAAGCCAAAACTGGAGAAATGCTTGAGAAGGTTGGACCAATACTGTAGGCTATGGCCTAGCTAAGGGAACCTGAATAAAATAAAAAGTAGCTGAATGAGCTTATTTCTGGTTACTTTATTTCCTGATTGCCAGTGTGCGTGCATCCATTTTAAGACTTTTTCTTACAGTCTATCTCTGTCTCTCTCTCTCAGCCACCCCCACCCCCAGAATAGATACACACGACTTAGAAAGTCTTGGGGCAGGTTTGGTGGAGGCAGGCAGAGAAGTTTTTCACAAGGTGGGAGCAGAATATGCCAGAGGAAGAATAGGGCAAAAAGGAATGTGGCACACTATCTTGCCTACTGTTCTTTCCACTTACAATCTGTGCCAAACGGCATCTTCTTAATAGTGCAATCAAAATATAAAAATATAATCATGCATTATTACAAGAACACAAAGTTAGTTGCAACTTTTTATGTTTTCAGCATGAAAAATAAAGAATTTTCAGAATCATCAGATGTAAACAAAAATGTCATCTCCAGTAAAAGTAAAATATAGACACGTGTTGTCTGGTGCAACTTTATTCATTATTTTATACCTTCTTTACACAGCTTAAGAGTTCTTCTTTATCCATTTGGTAGCCACTCTTTCTCCACTGGTCCCGTAACTGCTGTAAGAATATTCCAATTTCTTTCCCAGATGAAATCCCCATTTGCCTTAAGTCATGGCCGCTGACAGGAAAAGTGGGGACAGACCACTGCTGCATTTCTTTCAGAAGATGTTCTTCCCCTTGGTACTTCAGAAGTTCACAGATTCTGGATGTTGCATCAGCTTCCCTTGACTTCACAAAAACACATAATAATATGAGATTCGCACTCAAGACACCCACAGTAGTACTGAACAGCTGCCAATTGCAAACACACAACCCTCGTAAGCCACATGAATCAAAAGCCTTTTCAAAAGTGATTGGCTCCATATCCATAATACAGTAAAGAAGCCAATGTTTAAGCATGGGCTGAAAAGGGAAAAGACAACAGTATGTCTGTAGTCAATAAAAAGTGTATTTTGAAACGGTATTCTTAGTTCCAACAATCTGCAATAAAACCATAAGCACACAGTTTAAGCAGTGAGTAAACAACTGTTACTTGTGGATACTAGCAGCCTATTCCTCAGTATGTTACCTTATTATTTAAGTCTATAATGAAGTCTTGAAATGGTTTAAGTGGTTCTGCACCGTCAGTAGCTTTGACCAAGTCTCTCCTATGCTTCAGTAGAAATAGCCCAAGGTTTTTCTCATCTTTTGAGATTTTCAGCCTTAAATCCATTTTCATTATGTCATCTGGAACCTTTAACAGTGACGTTAGAACTGTCATTGGTTTTGGAAAGAGATTCTGAACATTTTTACAGACTGTGTCAAATTCCTGAAAGTTCGCATTAATAGGCAATCCTGAGGGACACACACAAAAAAGGACCATGAGAACAGCGTAACCAAGAAAACAAAAAGCTTTCAGAATACAAAACTCTACTGAGCAATTCATCCTTCCTCAGCCAAATGCCTTACTATTTCTCCCATGAGTCCCAGCTAGAATGGTCAATGGTCAGGCATTTTGGGAGTTGTAGTTCAAAATATCTAGAATACCACAACCATTCATCTTGCACCAGTTTGGAACCAGAACTACGACTGGTACCACCCCACTGGGGCATCAAATATGGATCAGGGCTATCCATGCAAGGGCACTGGCTTTGTTCAGGTGGGAAGCTCAGCCTTATGCTAGTGAGCAAGGCTAAAACCAGTGGCTGAAAATAGCCAGGAAGCAGATTTCAGTGCAACGTAAGATGCTGCTGTGTTGGCTATTCATCAATGGGACAGACTGCCTCAAGAGGGGATGGGATCGGCTTGGCTGGAAACATTTAAGCCAAGGCTGAAGGGCCACCTAGGAGGCGCTCAATGCATCACAGAGTCTGCGTTTAACAAGGAGAGGGGGGGCTTGCTGATCCTGAAGGCTCTTTCCAAATCTATGATTCTAATGTGATCTTAAGGGCTCTCTGTAGCTTGAGATATGCTGCATAGGTAGAATGAAATAGTTAACAGTATTCAGCTATTTTCCAAAGGAGGCAGATATTCCTTAAAGAATTTGAAGCTTGAATGACACTGCTCCTTATTACTAAAGTTCTGGCCAGAGAAACTCATTGCGCCTTACCTATATAACCAGCCACACCAAGTTCATACATAAGGTGAATAAGATGATTAACATGCTGCCCCATGAGAATTTTCTTCAATTCCACCCAAATCCTCTCGCCTGATATTCCAGCCAAACCTTTGGCATTTTCTCTGATGGCTTCCAGAGTTTTGGATTCATGGTCACCAGGTTTTTCTGCTATCTTCCCATAAAATCTAAGGGGGAAAACATCTCTATTAGTCCCCACAGCAAATCGGCTTTTTCTGCAAATGTCAAGTTTGTGGTACTGATTGGAATCATTTTCCAAGTGCAAATATTTGATATGTAAGTGCCATAAATGGATACTGAGTAGTCAGAACAACAGTGGAAGAGATCTCTATGGCCTGGCACACAACATCCATCTCTGCATACCACTGATGGTGGAGGTGAGTGAAGAAAGAGCTATATTAGCCTCTGGATAATTGAATGCTCTATAATAGCATTTATAATCAATCCATCTGGTAATCTGCCCATGTGATGTTAGATCATGCCCTATCATTTAGAAACTATTCCATGATTTTGGGCATAATTCTATGGCCTCCTGAAATTGTTAATGGGAGTGGCTGCAGCAGTATTTAGAGTTTGAACTCCAAGGTACTCCAAACTCAGTGCTGGGACTTTGAATGCAGAGCCGCTGCTCTGTCAGCACAGAAAGAACTGTGCCCAACAAATCTCATACACTGGAAATCCACCTCAGAGAAGGCTGAAAGGTTGTTCTGGGGCCAGCGAGGGGAGGAGCCTGGAGCAAGGCCTTATACTGTATCCAAATGGCTCCCCAGCCTCCTTCCTTACCCACAAATAGCCAGCTAGATGAAATTCAGGGCATGAGGTGCAGGACAGTGGCAACTGCTGCCCTGCCCTGCAGTGCATGCACACAAGCCTTCGATGTTCAGAGGCTCACATGTGTCAAATGTGGACCACACAGGATTATGCCATCATAAATATCTCACTACTACCTGAAGTATCGTAGAATTCTTAAGTAATCCTCTTGTATTCTCTGCTCTGCATGTCCTACAAATCTAATGTTGTGGTTTTTCAAATCCTCATAGCCATTGAAGTAATCGTAAAGGGTGCCATCCAAGCCTATAAAACAAATAAAGGCATTTCAACAAAAATCACCTAGAACTTCACTTAAGAGTCCTTTCTGATGCCACATTTAGATTTGTTTAATTTTTATAGCACCCACCCCAATACCCAAAACCTTTTGGGCAGTTCACAACTTTTAGCTGTTCAGCAAGGCATGTTTAGGTTCAATATCCATTCCTCTAATTGCTCATCTTGTAGCATGCACTTTTTAAGTTACAACAACGTGACAATCCACTCTAGGCATTTTTATGACATTGTAAGGCCTGACTCACTGGAATGTTACATGAAGCTCACGCTAACCCATGTTCCTGTTATTTCTTCCATTATATTCTAGATTTTTTAGACCAGTTACATAACAAGTTTTTATGCGCCACATATTTTCCCTGGTATACTTTGGAGACAACATGAAAAAGAGTCACTAGAGAAAACACTCATGCTAAGGAAAGCTGAAGGCAGAAAAGACAAAGTATGAGGTGGCTTGTTTCCATAAAGGAAACCACAGCCTTGAATTTACGGGCACCAAGAGAGCTGTCATACACAGGATGTTTCATAGGGGTTCATTCAAAGGGTCACCATAAGTCAGAGACAACTTTACAACACACCCCCACCCCTTCTCTCTGTGTGCCTGTGTGCGTAACACTGGGTGCTAAAATTGTGGTCCTGTTCTGAGACCAGGAAGAATGGCAACAGTGGCCTAGTAAGGAAGAGTAAGGAAGCTTTGCTGGGTGTTCAGGAAAACAGCAGGATTTCTCAGGAGATCTCCCACTCCTGCCTCTCTTGTCCACACCACGCCACTCCACCAGGGACTTCTCTCTTTCTCCTTCTTACTCTCTCTAACTTACTTAGTGGACTAGAGTGTAAATGCAATGCTAACATCTGCCAGCAGCTTCCCAAAATACCCACAGGCTATTGTTTTGGTTTTCTTAAATATGTTGATACCAGAATGATCTATCGTGGCTATATAAAAGTCAAAGAACCTACTGAAACATAAAAATAAGTCCGTTCACTAATAACCAACTCACTCTCTGAGTGCTGACCCTTGTGCAGACTAAATGGCACCAGCCCGTAACAAGAGGAAATATCAGCAGGATATTGAAGAATTCTAAGATTTGCAACAAGGCTTTCTTAAAAAATTCCCACCTGCACCCTCAAACAGTATATTGCTGCCGTTGTCGCCATCATCATCATCATCATCATCATCTCCTCTATACTGCCCATAGCTGAAGCTCTCTGGGTGTTTTAAAACAATATATGGGAATATTTATTACATTAATATCCCACCTTTCCACCAAGGAACACGAAGATGAGTTCTCAGGAAGTTGCCAAAACAGGCACTAAGCAGACTCCAACATGCTTCGTTTCAACAAGGCTGATGCATCTTGCATCACACGCCTTCAGGGTAAGCCTTGGGCATCATTTGCAGGAATAGGGTGCCTTGAAGGTAGGCACGGAGAAATAGGGACAGTCAGCGTGTGAACCAGAATGGGATGCTATTTTGGGGGTGATTGGGGTGCTGGAACATTACCTAAGAACATGGAATTGATTGTGAGATCCCTCCTCTCAGCATCCTTTTCCCAGTCAGTTGTGAATTCCACTTCTGCATGTCTCCCATCAGTAAGCAGGTCAATTCTAAGTGTGGTAATTTCAAAGTTCTCCTCATGGAGCTATAATAAATATTTTAAAGTCTTAATTTACCTTGTGAATAATAGCATAACTTAGAAACTAAATTATTTGCATGCCACACTGCATAGGGAGAGGGGTGTAAAAATAGAAGAATACCACATACATGAAAGTCATTTTCATCAGAGAAACACTCCCTAACTTGTTTCTTTCTTTAAAAGGGACAATCCACATGTAAACACAGCCCATGTGAAGGTTTCCATATGGATAGCCTTCCTGGTTTCTATTTAAACCAGTTCTATTAAACTCTTTGTTTTCTCAATAATCATTTCCCATTAAATCTTTGCATCCTCCATCCATTCATTTGCAGGTTCCCATTCTGCAACCCATTCCCCAGGCTTCTCTGCCTCCTCCTCCTCCACCCTTTAGCTTCCCTGACTTCCTAATACCTATATTATTTTCCACTGACATGGCATCCTGTCTCTAAACATGTGGCCAGCCTTATTGATAGATGCACCAGTCCTGTCAAAACTATTCATTGCAATGTATAAATGAATCTACCCTGTGCTTTGCACTGGATTCGCCTGTAGTCTTTCATGGTAGGTGGCAGGAAGCAAAGCACTGGAGAAGCAAGCAGGAATATATGGTTGGCTCTAGTATGTAGCCAGGACCACAGGTCTAGTGTCTGGATTCCTGTCTGGACTGGCCCAAATTGTCGCTGTGCAATATCCACAGTACTTGCATTACAGCTGACCACTGCGCTGTTAGTCAAGGCTAGTGCTTTGGCGCCTTTCAAGAGTTGTGGGCTGTAACTCCCAGAATCCCTGATTATTGACATGTCTGGGGCTCATGGGGCTTGTAGTCCAAAATATGCATGTCTCCAGGTGACTTCCCCTATAGCTTTAGGTTTTATATTGTTTTAATAATTAATGTTTTACATAGTAGTTTTATATTTATTGTATTTTTATATCTTGTAAGCCGTCCTGAGCGCTTGCAGTGATAGGGCATGGTATAAATGAAGACTAATGTATGAAGGTAAGTTAGCACCTTCACAGATATGTACTATTTATTAACATTCTGTATGTTGATACTCAGTTTTTGAAGAATCACAACAATTCTCTAACATTACAAAGCATGAAGCAGTTGCTGGAGAGCGGGAAGAGGAGAAAAAAGGGAAGCAGGCTCCCAGACAAGATGTAATGTTCAGGTGCTTACATCTATGCAGAAAATTAAAAATATGTCTCTGTACGTGGAGGTTTGGTGGGGGGAGACAATGCATACAGAGGAAGGGATCCTTCCCTATCAGATTTGTTCCCCAGATACTTCAAGAGAAATCCTTGTACCCTGGCAGTGATGGTTCCATGTTTTTCTCCTCTGTTGTTGATCATACGGATGCCCGCCTCCTGGAACATTTCCTTCATCTGAATAGGAGTCGCAGTAGTGGCAAAGTCAACATCTTGAGGCTTCACTCCACTGAGTAGGTCCCTTACAGCACCTCCTGCTATCCTTAATTCATACTGGGCGTTGTCAAACAATTCTGGGGAGGGGATATGAGAATAAATAATAATAGGAACAAAATTAAATCCTTGTGTAGTAATTGCCATAGCATAGGCATTTGAAGTCCCACTGAAGTTGATCTGAATTGTAGAAATGGTAACAGAAGGAACCCAGGCTGGAAAAATAATTATGCAGCCAGTTAAAACACAATTATTGCATGATTTGCTCTTCATGATTAACTATGGATTCAGCAGACCACATTTGCCCAATCTAGCTCATTTGTTAAACCTAAGCATGTTCTGCTACAGTAGATGGAATTGCCATCTCCCACATTTATTTATGTTTTATTATTGTTAAACTCGCATTCTACACTAGCAATCCCATAAGACTCTCTAGGCAGATTACAACATAGCAATACCATACAGCCATTCCAGCTTGCCTCTACTGTGAGGTCAATCACAGAGACCTTTCCTCACCTGTCTGCCTCCTTATGAGTACAAGGAAGATGACCTCTGTGCTGCCTCTGCGCCTTTCGAATTGACTTTTGTCAGGGGTCTCTCAGCCCCTCTTTTGCAGCTCTTCAGGAAATATCTGAAGTTTCATCTTTTTTCACTGATCACAATTCTACACTGCTGGTTTTTCACTGCAAGTTTATTTTTATTTATCTGAACTGGAAGTCTTGCCTTTTATGTTTTTTAATGGTAACCAATTGTTATCTTACATGCCACCTTGAGAGGTGGCCTAGAAATAATTTAGATAGACAGACAGATGTAAATGTCCTGTTCTTGTGATGATGTGTGTTCTTCAACTTTAGGACAACATAAGAAGAGAGTTTAAAATTAAATTTTTATTTAAGCAGTATTTTAAATGTTAATATTATTGAATTTTATTTGGCCAGGGCGGCTTGTTTTATAGTGTATGTTTTATATTATATATTTGTATTTTATTGTATATATTTTAAAATGTTATTTTAATTTTTTGTTGTAAGCCGCCCCGAGGCTTCGGCGAATGGGGCGGCATAAAAATGTTTTAATAAATAAATAAATAAATAAATGTCCTCCAATCTAAAGGAAGTTTATTACTTGGTAACTTTGGCTTGTTAAAAACCCCAAATGCATTTTACAAAAAAAATTCATGCAATTGCATTTCTGTATTGACAAAATCTCAGACTCTAAGCATCTGTCCTGTTTATCTACCTGACCAAAGAGGATGGCAGCTTGAGTTTCATTAAGGTTGAATAAACCCTGACTTCATGACATGCACTTAATTTGGCATTTTATAGGATCACAGATATAACCTTTCAGGCTTTTGCACATTGAAATTTGTTTTAGAAACATACATGTGTATCTCTTCCAAACTGAAAAAATATCCTAAAAATATAAAACAATTATCAGGTGAGACAAGCATAATAAAATTTACTTTTACAAATGAAATTGTATTGGGTTAATTCAATGAAAGTCTGTAAACCTAGGGTATCACAACAATAATTGAAACACAGAAAATAATCAAAATCTTGTCACTTTCACAGATGATTCAGATACAAGTCAGGATAAAAATTAAATAAATTAATAATAACAAGGCTCACTGTCACTCTTATTGGATGTTTTCCTACATTCTGTTGACAGCCCAGCCCTAAACCAGCTCAGAAAACAAAGCACTCACACCTGCAATACATTTCAGTCCTGGTGTGAAGAGAGACTGGAATTCGGAAGACTCTAGCTTCATTGTAGCTAAGCGACGCCACAGGATTTTAAACTGGGGAATGGTACGGGGGAAGAGGGGAAGGCCTGCCTTACAGCTCACAAAGAACAGTTGGCTCCACATCTAAAAAAAAAAAAAAAAGGTAAAAAAAAGTAGCAAATGATTTATCCAGAACTGAATGAGACAAATGATTGACACCCAAACTGCTACGCTTCCCTAACCCAGCACACTCTACATGTGTTGGATTACAGCTCTCATCACCCCCAGCCTGCCTGGGAAATATGTAGTAAGTAGGAAATATACATGCAAACTGGTACATCAAGTTAACAAGGTGATCACTGATGAGAAACTGAATTTAGAAAATGCTATTATTCAACTCTGGAAATTTACACGAAGATACTAGACAACCCGAAGAACACACAGAGGATAAGAATCAGGAGCCCTACTTCAAATCTCGCCTCTTCCACAGTAGCACTGGATATGCCACTGCTTCACTCCTGCCCCATTATGATCCCCCTATGAGGGATCATACCACTGACCTGCTTTATTTATTTATTTAGCGAGCTTCTATGCCGCCCCATTCGCTGAAGCCTCGGGGCGGCTCACAACAATAAATACATATCATCCATATAAAAACAATATAATAACAATATAATTGGAGACGTCCTGGCCAAAGATATAAAAGCAATCAATAATGTTAACAATTAAAATGACGTTTAAATAAAAAGGTCTTGGCCTGGCGCTGAAAAACAAATTTTTGTAACTGGATAGGGCATGTGAAGCTTTTGGTAATTTACAACTATAACCCAGTATTATTATTATAACCAAGCATTCTATGAATGAGTCTAGACAACCTTCTAAAGTACAGTCCTACTACTGTTCTGAAAAATTACAGCATTCAACCAGCAAGCAATGGGGAGTGTTGATGCACATAATTTACATGCAGACGATCTCGGGGTTTTTTTTCCCCCATTTTATGATGTTTATACCCTGCCACTTTCCTCTTGAAAGAAACCCAGGCCCTACAGGCCACCTTACGCTCCATTTTAGCCACACAACAAACCCGTAAGGTAGGTCAGGTTAGGAGAGGCTCAAAGTGGCTCCACTGCGCTTTACAGAAAGAGGGAACCAAATCCTCGATCTCCCAAATCCAACACGCGAAACATTATACCACACAGGCTCTCCCTAATCCCTAGTTAAGGGCGCCATGCTACTTAGATATTGGGGGGGGGGGGGGGGGAAGGTCCTACAACTCCCAGCATGCCCCGACCACGGTCTCTTTTATCTAACCCGAGCAGGGATGCGGGTCGTGCCGCAGCACTCACGCCGGCGCCCGCCTCATTTCTGGACCACGCCTCCCGTGACCCCTCAGCAGGTCCAAGGCCCAGCGCCCCCGAGAGCACAGCTTGCTTATCGCTGCTCTAAGCCTGGTCTGACTCAGGCGTGGTCCATAAGGGAGCCTGGTGCGCGCCGCCGGAAAGGAGGGTCGGCACCGGCACGCAGCGCCGGCCTAGCTCAGGCGCGGGGCTCACGCCGGCGAGGCGAGGCGAGGCGCGACCCTGCACAGGAGCCACCGCCTGCGCGCTCCTAGGCTCGCTCACCCAGGCGCCTGCTCGCTGCTCTTCCAGCCAGCCGACACCGCGCGGCCGCGAGCCCAGCACCCGCGACGGCCGAGGAGAGGCGGGACGACGGCGGAGCAGGGCCGGAAATCCCGCTCCGCCCTGGAGGCGGCCGCGAGGGAGGGCGCAAGAGGGCGGAGCGGCGATCTCCGCGTGTGCTCGTAGTTGCCGCTCGGCCGCTGCTCGAGGGTTTCTCCGCTGCCTGGGCAAGGTTAAGTCGAGGTAGCTCCTCCCGGGGCGGCGTTAGGCACCTGCCCTCGGTTCTGCAGGACAAAAGCAAAGCACGGATTTGTGCATGCTATTTTTAATATTCTGCAAACCGTGTGCGCACGCGCGCATTTAATTTTGGAAACCCTCAGGCAGAGAGATTCAAGGAGGCGGGCAGCAGGAGGTAAAGCTTGGTTAAGCGAGGGATGAAACGCAAGTGCCCATGGACACCAACGGGGTGGATTGATGGTGTGCCAGAGATCCGGGACTCCAAATGAAAGACGCAGGGCCCTAGTGGAGCCCCGCGCCCCGGCGCCGCTTCTGGCCATTCTCCCGCCCCTTCGGAAGGTTTGGTGGTCTAGCGGTGAGCGGTGTTCGCCGACTCGCGCAACTCCCTTGCCCAGCGCAGCAACTTCCCCAGGCGTGCCTTCCGTTCTGCCCTGCAAAGGGCTTGCTGGTATATCACTTAGCGAAGGAGAGTTGTCCTAGGAATGCCAGGGCATCTTTCCGAATAAATTTGGATCACGTGGGGAAAGCCCTTGTCGAGCTCAGGGAAGGCCTCAGCAGAAGATGGCATCCCCTCTCAGCCGTTCTGTCTTGTTTCCATATTGGACATGTAGCCTCCATGGTGCCTGAAGGCAGCAGGCTAATTTAGGAAGCACACTGCAGACGTCTTAGCATACAGGTTTTTCTTCAATCCCTGTCTGTTGCCCCCAGCATCACTTGCTTGGGGAAACTGCTTCCGTGTGCCTAAAGGTAGCCCCAGCTACTCTTTTTGAGATACGGAAATTAAAATCCATAATGAGAAAACTGAGTGTGGAAGTACATGTGTGTATCAAAGGTTGCAGTATTGTACATTTATCAATTGGGTGTGTTGGAGGAGTGTACTGCAAAATGAACTAGGCAGAAATGTTTGAATTCTAAACTGGGCAGGACCTCTTGTTAGTGTGGGTAGCCTGTTCTATTTTGTAATGCTTTCTAAACATGTTAAGCTACCCCATGTGGGTTGCTGTGTCCTGCAAACCCAGCCACTGACTGGATTAGCAAGATCATTGTAGCCCAGCATAGTTTATTTTGCAGCACATACCACCTTTGAATAGTCAAGCGGGTGGATGTCATGGCTTAGCCTGTTATGGAAATGTGGCAAGGCTGGTTTATGCAAGGATTCTACAACTCTTTTGTATGCCAGTTTTAGGATTACCCCTGCTGCGTTTGTACTACATGATAAGTTGCTCACAGTGGCATGAGTATTTAAAATGGCTGCTGGTGCATACTGCAACCCACCATGTCTTAAATAAGCCATGGTGGGCTGCAGCGATCATTCAAACTGGCCAGCACATCCAGAATGAAATCAAGCCACCATTACTTGCTTTGACTCTCAGTGCATGCTGCACCTCATTTTCCTAGTTTCTCACCTGCGTGGCTTGTTGAGTAATTTGAACTCAGGCAGCTTGGTTTGTTTAAGGTGAAACAACCCTCAAATAATGTATTACATGAAAAACTCCCAAGATCTTTTGGAGTACTTTAACCAGATGCATTAGGAAAGCCTCACAATTTGTTCCACACTCCTGGCAAGCTGCCGGGCCATTATTTTTCTAATTTAGGAGAACAAGAGCACTTCGCGATGCAACATGCTGCACTTCGCAGAGAAAATGACAAAAGTCTTACCAGGCAAGGGCAACAATTCTCTTAGATTTGCCTACTGGAGTTTTCTGAATTGGAAATTAATATAGAACTGAAATCAGAAGGGAAGTATACCGCTATGAAGCCCTCATCAGATTTTAGCTTTATAAGAAGAAAGAAAAAGTGGGAGCAGTGGAATGCAGTTAACTTTCTTTTTCTAAGGACTCCTAAATATAGCCACTATTTCTACAAATCTTTTAAGGTATTGCTCATTTCACCAGCTATCTAAATGGACAAAGATTTTTGCTTCCACACTTTTTATTCAATTAATATTTATCCTAAGATAAAATGTCAATAATTTGCACACTAGTTTGCATTTTTTTGTATTTTTGCAGTATATTTATTGTTCCTTTTCACTTTTTAGAGATGGTTTTCTGTTTTTCTCTTGTTTGCTGAATAACTTTGTTCTTTGCCATGTATTTTCGAATCAATGCTACATTGACTGGAAATGCATTGTGGGTAACTGGTCATGATGGGTTGTAATGCCATGTGAACTTGGACCACTTGGACCTTCAGGGCAGTGGGCTCTTGGGCAACAAGTCACCCTGCCAGCACATGACTCATTGAAGGGGTTGTTGAACTCACAAGGGATTATTGGGTTGCTCTTGCCAAGCTTGCTCAGGTCACTGTCAGTGAAAGCTGTAAACTTTCCTGTCAGAGAACCTTGTATGCTCCTGTGAGAAAATCCTATTTTAAAAGAAACCCTTTCTTTTAGGTGTCAGAACTCTGTACTCCAGTATGTGAGGTGAGATGCGCTTTTCCCATTTCCTGAGTATCTACGATGGAAAAGGTACAGGACGGGCAGGTCCACGCTTGAAAACTGGGGGATTTTGCTGTGATTGTGGTAATATATACCCGGTCCCAGCGTAATAATGAGTTACGTTCCTGATATCATCTTTAAGTTGAATTTGTATGCAAGTCAGATCACTTATATAAAAAGCATATAAAACTCTCAAGAAACACTCCCATATACAGCAAAAGCAATAGAGCATTTTAATAATGATAATAATACAGTAATAATAAAGTAACAGTTGCTGAAGAGGGGGAGAGGGAGATCTGTATATATGTGTGTAATGTATAGTACAGTTCGTAAAACAGATAGAAAAATAATAAAAAGATTACTAAAGGTTAGCACTTTTTGAGCTAACATTAAGCCTCATACCAACTTGATGATGATGGAGATCGGACTCCTTTATCCTGTAGAATTGCCGGAGTTGTTACTAAGTTCATGGAATCCAAACATACTGGGTCCTGTTCTTTCCTTCCCCCTCCTCTCTCTTCTTAGCAGCCTGGCGCTCACCCCCTGGCACCCATGGGTGCCTGTTTGCTGCTTGAGGATAAGGCAGGACTTCTGGGTGTGCTTGTTCATGAGTAGGGGTGTTCTTTACATGGATGTTTCTAAGTGGGGGACTGGGCATATTTGGAGCCTGCTCTTACAAGCCACAGTCTTTTTGTGGCTTTGCTATTCACCTGATGGGTTGCTGCTTGACAGCCATCAAGTGAGAAGCAAAGTGACAAAATAACCTATTTGCAGCCTTGCTTGGTCAATGCCCGTGGCTGATGCCAATTGCACTTTGACAGCAGACACTTGTCATGACAGTGCGCAAGCAATTCTTCATTTCAGTCACTCGCAAGTGTGCACTGGCATGTCTGTGAATGACAAAGAGCTATGAAAACATTTGTGCACACTTCTAGTACCTAAAAATAAGTTTTGAATAGGTGGGGAACCACTGATGGTCACTCTAGTGAGCTACTTGGGTACTTTGAAGGACTGTCAGTGGCCATCACTTGTAGAAGTCGAAAGGGAAAAACACCCTATATGTTGTACCATTTTCTCTCAGCCTCATTAGCTTTGATACATTCTTCAGGTGTGTCAGGCTGATCATATGGTGGTTATGGCATGAGGTTTAACCTTGCTACTTCTGACAAAACAGACTTTTGAAAATTGCGTAGCTCTTAACTTTAAATTTATACAGCAGCTTTCACTCCCCAGCATGTTCTTGGGGATTGTATTGTTATAGTTAACAGGTTTTTTTGTTTTGCAATCATTATTTTATGTCTAGTTTCTTTTTACAGTAATAATAGCCATGGCTGAAAAAATTCTTTACAAATCCATTGCTACCAGTAAATGTTTTGGATGGCTAGTTTGAGATGCCATTAAATACTGCTCTCTAGTTCATTTCCTTCCTCCTTGTTAATTCTTTGTGTCGCTTACCAACTGTTCATAATTGGTTTTTCCTCTCAGCAACTGCTGTTTACTGTTCAGTTTTCCAGCAGTTTTAGCAATCCAGTGCTTTTGGTCTGCTTCCCAAAGTTTTACACTGTTTTTGGAGATGCAGATTGTGTATATATCATGAAAAAGTGTGGTTCTTGGCACAAGTAGTTCTCTAACAAGTGCTTACTTAATTTGTTGGTACATAGGCATAATTTCTTCCTCTCTCTTAGGTTTTCAGTTATAATATTTAAGCTATGTGGAGTGGATGTTGACCATGAGATAAGGAAACCAAAAGGAAGAGAAAGTATAGGTATACAAGCCAAGGATAGCCGGCAACAATCTGGATGAAACAGTGTGTTGAAGATTGATTCCTGAATTTACAAAATGTGAAAATACGTTCAGACAGCAATACAGAGAGATTTTGTAGGCTGAAGCCATCTCAGACTACAACTGGAATTTGAATTTAGTTTTCGATGTTCCTATTCCTACGCGTATCATATAATCCTCTTGTCCACTCTGGCTTTCCAGACCGGATCTATTGAACCAATATCTGTGCATTTATAAAAAGATGGAAAGGTTGTGTAAAGAAACATGCTAATGTTGTTTATCTTCTTCCCTGCTTGACCAGATCCCAACACAGTGCTTCAGGCTGCAGAGTTGCATTTTAAGCTATGCTTACAGTCCTAGTTACCCAGCTATGAAATGAAGGTTGATAATGAC